TTGTTTGATAGGTTCCTTGCACTTGAGCGACTAACAACTGTGAATCGCTTTTTAAGATTACTCTAGTTGCACCCAAGTCTTTTGCCATTGCTAAACCTGCTAGGACTGCCCTATATTCGGCTTGATTATTTGAGGCCTTAAAGCCAAATTGGATATAGAGTATTCCACAGTGATACCTTGAGAACTTTCAACAACAACTCCAGCTCCACTGCCCTTAAGATTTGAGGACCCATCCACAAATATTGTCCAATCACCCTCTGACTGAGATTTTTCTGAATTCGTCATCTCCACCAGAAAATCAGCTAACACTTGTGCCTTAATGGCCTGGCGCGGTTCATAAATGATGTCATACTCTGATAATTTGATAGACCAAGTGATCATTCGTCCCGCAAGATCAGGTTGGCGTAAGATTTTCCTGAGGGGTTGGTTAGTTCTGACTATAATTGTGTGTCCCTGGAAATAATGATGCAATCTGCTAGATGTTATGATAAGTGCAAATGCCACTTTTTCAATATGTTGTAACGCAGTTCTGGACCTTGAAGGGCTTTACTAACAAAATAAATTGGCTCTTGTACATTGGCATCCTCGCGCAATAATACCGTGGTAATGGCTTCATTGCTTTCCGAAAGATAAAGGACCAATGTTTTTCCTAGTTGTGGTGTAACACCCCGTGTATACCCGGTTTGTTAACATGTCATCGTATTAAGCCACGCTTAATTTAAAAAAGCGGAATATCTTTTTCTTTTCAATTATGACGTCATTATCATTACCAAGTTGAATTACTTAATTCATTTCCAAAACATTGCCTGTATGTAAATTGCAAATAGATAGCTAACTGAAATACCTCAATATATAAATAACTGTGAGTATATAAAATTACGGAACTACAACACGTAGTCCGGACATAATCCTGATACATTATTACAACTCAAATCTAAACAACGATTCACAATCAAACGTGGCATGGACAATTGCCATGCTCACCAAATAAGGCAGCAAAACCAAACATAGTCTCAACAACAACAACATAATAATAAAAAACTAATAGCATATCATCAGCAGATATAATCCAGCATCCAAACATATCGTCACATAAACAACAATATTAGCAAAGTTTCGGACTCCTGCCGCTAGAGGTCTTAACCCCTGGGTTACCTGAACCTGAAATAAGCGTCCCCAGACGTGAGGTGAGATCTCTAAACAGAAATATCAATAAGACAAGGGGTCCTCAACGATCTTTCATCCAAAGCTCACTTACATGTGCAATATAAGTTCTAAAAGCAGTTGTTGCGTAAAATCGACAAGTGCACCGATCGTACCAAGTAATAAAATAGTGAGTAAGAATATCGTCCCACGAGGATTGAGGAACCGAATTTATTTTTAACTATCCATTTCTTATTGGATGAAAAAAAGTTGGTTTTTGAGAGTATTTGTGTTTGTAAAAAGTGTGAACTATTCAAGATTTGTGAACAATTCAGAGATAAATTTGAAAACTTGAGAATAAAAGATTAAAGTTGAGAAAAATATTTAAAAAGCTATTGCAGTAAAGGACGCCAACACCTTTCTGATCCCCACCTTGTAATATTAATTAATGTTTACATTTAATTACCCAATTGATCAAACAATTCACCATCTATTAATTAATTAGTTAAGCCCTAATCCCTTAGTGATCTTAACTTTATTAACCCTATTAGAATCCTAATCCCTTAGAAATCCTTTTTCAAGTTAATCCTTTAACCTAGTGAATTTTCAACGTTTGCAATTCATGTAGCCTATCCCTAGTGCGTACATGAACTGTTATTTTACCCTTGCCAGGAACTAGAATCCCAATATTCTTATTGAAAACCCTAACCCTCGCAATCCTAATAGAGTGATCAATTCTAAAAGAATTATAGATGAAGAACAGGATAAAATAAATTCAATTGAAATAATTAAATATAAATTTAACCAAACTACAAGGGGTTCACATCAAGGGTTGTGACCCTTACCACAATAATAAAAAGACTAGCCAGACATATTCATGTCTGACAATTCAAAGTATTGAAAAGAATACATAAATAAATAAAAACCAAAAAATTTGGAGAAGAAGCTTGCTCCGCGTTCTCTGCCTTCGTCAATTTCTTCCGCGCAAAAGAGTTTTTTTCTCTTTAGGTTTCTCACTCTTTTTTATAGCCAATGCCTCAATCAGGTCGTAATCCTCTGATTTATTTGATTAACTTCCCATTTTTATCAAAATCCACAAATCAAGGAACTGAATCACGACGCCCGACGCCATCCGCGCCAATTCTGCGCGATTTGCGCGGGCGATTAATGAGGATTCCTGAACTTGGCGCGACTAGCGTGGAATTCATGCTATTAGCGTGAAATGGCCGTGGCTCCTTCACTTGGTGGCGCGACGTGGCGTGGTCTTTAACATGGAGTTGGCGCCATTAGCATGAACTTGGCACTAATGGCGTCAACTTGGCGCTAATGGCGTGGGAGTACAGTAACCTTTCCATTTTTTTGGCGCAACTGGTTTCAAAATCCACGCTATTGGCGTGGAGGATTAGTTTTCACGCTAATAACGTGAAATTCAAGCTATTAGCGTGAGAAGTGGATAAACAAGATTTGCACCATTTGCAAGCTTTCCTCCTGCAAAAACATTGAATTCAGCGTGAAAGTGTGTCTGAAGATGGATTATCAATAATTCTTTAAAAATAATACTTTTCATCGCTGAATTACAGTCAAATCCTTATTCTTTTTACGCTGAAATATCTATATGCTGAAGGCACATCAAACAATTCCCAGATTTAGATATTGTTGTCCCCAGCAATAAATAAGATCAAACATCAGGCAGCAAGGATTAACTCTGTTAGAAGAATGTATGTCACTTATGCAATTTTCTACATTGAAGAGATTTAGAGTTATAATGCTATGCATGAGTGAATTCCAAGTTGAGACTTCAGGAATCACTTTTTGTATAAGGAATTAGAATCTAGTTTGATCACTTCTTACCAGGATAATCACTGCACTTGTCACTCTTGTGTATTAGGTTTAACTGTCAATCCATCAGTGCAATAAGACTACCATAAGCTTGATCCTATTCTCAAGTTCCTAATGAGGAACATGTAAAACATGCACAATTAGATCCAAAGGTCTTTGCAGGGTTGTAACTTGGCTTAGGCTAAAGTAGGAATATTTGGGAAAACGGCTACTTTTTACTGTGTATGAGATTGAAACACAACTATTTATTTTCAGTTGTTCACCCTCAGACACAATTTCACTTAGTCTTTTCCTTTCTATTCATACTTTTCCTTTTTCTTCTTGACCTTTTCATGCTTTGTTGTTGCTTTGCAACTTTTCATTTTGTTTCTTTTCTCTTTGGTCCCAGCTTTTGCTTTCACTATCACTTTATTTTGGTGAAATTGTTCCTTGAATACCTATAATCAGTGCTTCAATCTCATCCAAGGTGTGTTGATAGGAATTAAGCTAAGAGCCTTATGGTTAAATTCAACAAGAAACAATAGGCTAAGGTTCAAAGGGCTAGCAATGGGGAAAAAAAATCGGGTCAGCTATTTGGCCAATGAGTTAACAAGAAAGAATTGTCTTTATCATTTCAGATCATGCATGTATTACAGAGAAACAGAGCAAGTTTTAGAGTATTATCACAGTGAGGCCTCTCTAAAAAAAAATTATTGTATAGGCTCAAACCTCACGGTTGTGCAATCAAACTAGAATCTAAATTCCATTATCAGCACATATCAACTGTAACTCTCAACAAAGAATTCAATCAAACGAGCAATAACAACTCTTATACTTCAATGCATTATTTATCCATTATGACTTCTCACACAGTATCTTATATGCTCTCTAAGATTTAATCATTTTATTGCATGAGTAGCTAACACAGATCCAGGTATGTTGCTAAGAGAATTTCTTCTATCAAAACAAAAATATCAACAACAAAAAAATGAGACAAAAGGTTCAGATATCTCCCCTGATTTAGAAAAAATTTCTATTAGATGTCTTTCTGTGTGGTTCGTCTGTGTTGCATGTGGTGTGCCCAATTCTCAGATTTAGAACATTGTTGTCCCCAGCAATAAAACTAAACTAGGTAAAGAATAAGAAATTCTGCACAGGTAACACACTCACACTGGTTAAACCATCAATTCAACATAACGGAAAAGACATCTAAACATCATAATAAAATTAAAACTTAAAACAAAGGAAAGGAAAAAGAATAATAAAATGAATAATAAAAACTCATTGGGTTGCCTCCCAAGTAGCGCTTGTTTAACGTCACGAGCCTGACGTACCCCTTGCGATTATGGTGGTTGGAAGCACGCTACCATTGATGACCCAATCTTCTTGGTCCAGTATTGCGTCTTCCCATAATCATATGCACCTGGGTGAGGATGAGGGTTCTCAGGAACTTTAAATTTTGTCTTCACATGCTTTTCCTTACTCCTGGACTTTTCCATCTTAACCTTTGGCTTGCTTTCTTCATGCTGCTGATCGACTTCCCTTCTTTGTGGGGTTTGGTCTTCTCTGAGGTTGTCTCACAGGTTTAACATTGTCTTCCATTAGAATCTTGTGAGTACAGAAAGAAGGGTTGATTTCCTTCAAGTCAGAAATAGACCACCCAATGGTTGTCTTGTGCTCTTTGAGTACTTTCAACAGCTTCTCCTCTTCAGTTGGAGACAAATCTTTATTGATGATGACTGGATATTACTTTTCATCTCCCAAGAAGGCATACTTCATAGTTTCAGGCAACTCTTTTAATTCTACCGTTGGTGCTAAAGTAGCTGAGTCATCTTCTTTCTTTTCTAGCACCTCAAAGATAGTTTCTCGATCTTCTTGTGGAGCATCTTCATCTAGATCTTCGAGTTCATCATCAGTCTCTTGATCATCAATATTCACTTCTTTGACTGCTTCCTCAACCACATCAAGTCTGAAGCAGTCACTGGGATCAGATGAGTTCTTCATAGCTTTAAACACATTGATTGTGATTGTCTCATCGTTCATTCGTAACTCAAGTTTCCTTGTTCAACATCGATCATAGCTCGAGCTGTGGCCAAGAACGGCCTTCCAAGCCGAAGAGGTATTTCACTCTCTTCTTCCATATCCAACACAATGAAATCAGCAGGGAAGATGAACTTGTCAACCTTGACTAGGACATCCTCTATTATTCCATTAGGTCTCCTTACTGAACGGTCAGCAAGTTGTAAAGAGACCATGGTTGGCTTCAGTTCAGAAAGTCCTAATGCTTTGCATATTGACAGCGGCATCAAGTTGATGCTTGCTCCAAGATCGCATAACGCCCGGCCAACATTGGTGTTGCCTATCGCGATTGAAATGTTGAAACTTCTCGGATCTTGAAGCTTTGGTGGGAACTTCTTCTCTATAATGGCACTGCACTCTTCAGAAAATGCTACTGTCTCACAATCCTGCAACTTATGCTTTCTTGACAATAAATCTTTCATGAATTTAGCATAGTTAGGCATATTAGCAAGAGCTTCAGCAAATGGAATATTAATATGTAATTTTTTAAACATATCTAAAACCTGGCATACTGTTGCTTTTGTGCTTGCTGTTTGAGCTTCATAGGATAAGGAGGTTTCTCAAAACGAGAAAAATCCATCGGTTGCTTTGGAGCTTCCACAGCTTTCTCCTTTGCTTCTTCTTTCTCTTGCCTTGCAGGTTCTTCTTTTTCACTGGCAGGTGCTTCTTATTCTTTCTCATGCTGAACCGATTTTGGCTTTTCTTGAGGAGTGATTACAATTCCATTCCTAGTCACAATGGACTTGCAGTCCTCCTTTGGATTCACAATTGTATCTCCTAGGAACTGTCCTTGAGCTCTTTTAGCCAACTGCCTAGACAACTGGCCTATTTAACTCTCCAAGTTTTGGATGGAAGCATCCTGGTTCTTGTGGTAGGCTCTGGTCTCATTTATGTGATCATGAGTAGTTTTGGCCAGTTGTATCATCGCTTTCTCCAATTCGGATGGCTCTTTTTGTGGCAGAGGAGGAGGTTGCAGATAGTTGTTGGATTTATAATCCAAGCCGCTCCCTTAATTCCTCCTTTGAAAGTTGTTCCCTTGGCCTCCATTCTGATTCCTTTGGTAACTTTGGGTATTCTGTGGTGGCCTTGGGTCATACCAAATTCCATTGACTTGGAATGGTTCAGCTCCATTGAGTGTAGGGCACTCATTAGTATCATGTGACTCCGTGCAGTACTCACAATTAAATGCATTAACTTTGGATGTTGAGATCTGCATCTTGTCGAGCTTGGCATTCATACTAGCCAACTGTTGTAAAATCACCTTTTGCTCCGCTAATGAAGCATCATTGCTCCCCAGTTGTAGAAGTCCTTTCTTCGGTTGAACTGGTTGAACTTCCACTGAAGCATTATCAGCTTTTGCCATGTTGTCGATTAACTCTAAAGTTTCAGCTGCTATCTTCCTTGCTATGGTTCCTCCAGCTGCACCATTGACCACCATCCTGGATTCCGGTGTCATTCCGTTATAGAAGACTCTGGCTTTCTTTCCTTCCGGCAAGTCATACAGGGGACACTTCCTGATCAATTCATGGAACCTGGTCCAAGCTGCACATAAAGTTTCTCCCGGATGTTGAATGAAGTTGGTGATCTCTTTCACCAGCTTGTTGTATTTTTCCTAGAGAAGTGCTCCGCAAAGAATTTAGCAGCCAAATCCTCCCACATTGTGATGCTGTTGGGGGCTTGTCTATCCAACCATCTGAGGGCTTTTCTAGTTAATGCAAAAGGAAACAGCTGAAGTCTGATTGCATCATCAGACACCCCGTGATGCTTAGTGGTGTCACAAATTCTCATAAATCTGTCCATAAAGTCGTGAGGATCTTCGTAATCCTCTCCACCGAAAAGAGTCTTCTCCACCAAGGTAATCAGAGACGGTTGGATGTCATAGTTGTTGGCATCTATCTATGGCCTGACAATGCTAGAGTTCGGCCTAGTGAACATGGGAGCTAGAATTGACTCCATCAACTCTCCTCTGGGAGTTGGATCAGGGGCTGCCATCACTGGTTCTGTGTTTGGGTTAGAACTCGAAGACTCTTCCTGCTTTCTTTGCTTGGCTAGCTTTCGGTTCTTCTTTGCAGTTTTCTCTATTTCTGGATCAAACTGTAAAGTGTCTCGATTTACTTTACCTCGCATAAACTCAAGCAACAAGATTAGTAACAAAAACAAAATCCAATCAATAAATTCAAAAGTTAAGAATAAAATTGGCGTAGTCAATCCCCGGCAACAGCGCCAAAAACTTGTTGCGTAAAATCGGCAAGTGCACCGATCGTACCAAGTAATAAAATAGTGAGTAAGAATATCGTCCCACGAGGATTAAGGCACCAAATTTATTTTTAACTATCCCTTTGTTATTGGATGAACAAAAGTTGGTTTTTGAGAGTATTTGTGTTTGTAAAATTGTGAACTATTCAAGATTTGTGAACAATTCAGAGATAAATTTGAAAACTTGAGAATAAAAGATTAAAGTTGAGAAAAATATTTAAAAAGCTATTGCAGTAAAGGACGCCAACACCTTTCTGATCCCCACCTTGTAATATTAATTAATGTTTACATTTAATTACCCAATTGATCAAACAATTCACCATCTATTAATTAATTAGTTAAGCCCTAATCCCTTAGTGATCTTAACTTTATTAACCCTATTAGAATCCTAATCCCTTAGAAATCCTTTTTCAAGTTAATCCTTTAACCTAGTGAATTTTCAACGTTTGCAGTTCATGTAGCCTATCCCTAGTGCGTACATGAACTGTTATTTTACCCTTGCCAGGAACTAGAATCTCAATATTCTTATTGAAAACCCTAACCCTCGCAATCCTAATAGAGTGATCAATTCTAAAAGAATTATAGATGAAGAACAGGATAAAATAAATGCAATTGAAATAATTAAATATAAATTTAACCAAACTACAAGGGGTTCACATCAAGGGTTGTGACCCTTACCACAATAATAAAAAGACTAGCCAGACATATTCATGTCTGACAATTCAAAGTATTGAAAAGAATACATAAATAAATAAAAACCAAAAAATTTGGAGAAGAAGCTTGCTCCGCGTTCTCTGCCTTCGTCAATTTCTTCCGCGCAAAAGAGTTTTTTTCTCTTTAGGTTTCTCACTCTTTTTTATAGCCAATGCCTCAATCAGGTCGTAATCCTCTGATTTATTTGATTAACTTCCCATTTTTATCAAAATCCACAAATCAAGGAACTGAATCACGACGCCCGACGCCATCCGCGCCAATTCTGCGCGATTTGCGCGGGCGATTAATGAGGATTCCTGAACTTGGCGCGACTAGCGTGGAATTCACGCTATTAGCGTGAAATGGCCGTGGCTCCTTCACTTGGTGGCGCGACTTGGCATGGTCTTTAACATGGAGTTGGCGCCATTAGCATGAACTTGGCGCTAATGGCGTCAACTTGGCGCTAATGGCGTGGGAGTACAGTAACCTTTCCAATTTTTTGGCGCTACTGGCTTCAAAATCCACGCTATTGGCATGGAGGATTAGTTTTCACGCTAATAGCATGAAATTCAAGCTATTAGCGTGAGAAGTGGATAAACATGATTTGCCCCATTTGCAAGCTTTCCTCCTGCAAAAACATTGAATTCAGCGTGAAAGTGTGTCTGAAGATGGATTATCAATAATTCATTAAAAATAATACTTTTTATCGCTGAATTACAGTCAAATCCTTATTCTCTTTACGCTGAAATATCTATATGCTGAAGGCACATCAGCAGTCATATAATATAAGTTCCAAAGTCAATGCAATGCAGCAGATAATCATGTCATGTGTGTTATAATTATTCTACTTATCAGAGAAGTGCAGGAATACGTCTATTACCCACACAGTACACGCCCATGCTGTACCCGCCCACAGGACCACCCCATGGCTTCCTCTCTAGGCGGAACACCATATACATATCATATAGCATTTGTACTTAACAGTTCAATAGCATTTCAGTAAAACAATACATGAAAACACATCACGCATATAACCATCCCCCATGGGATATGGTGGAACAATCAATGGCTAAACCGAGGACACGAAAGCTTACCTTGCAAGCTCATTATCCAAGCCAAGAGTTCAACCAAGAGCTCACACTAGCTCAAAGCCCACAAACAGCATAATCACAATCTGTTTATACGATACATAATCATCAATAACCATTTACCAAGGTTACATTAAGTGATTAAGGCTTTCCATCTCATTTTAAGTCATTTTAGGCAGTTTCTGCAAGGAGATCAGTGTTAGGTTTGAAGGGTTCAAACCCTCTAACATTGATCCACACCACCCCATGTCAAGATGCAAGAACTCTTCTTGAAAAGCCACCAATTGATCACCACAAAAGCTTGCTAGGCCTTCAATGTGTGAAGGAGGAGGCTAGGTAAAGGTGTTTAGAAGAGTGAAGTCTTCAGCATGAAAACTTCACAAAAGTGGGACATGGATGCTCTTAGAAAATGCTAGGTTAATTCCAAAACACTTAAGGAAAAAACCTAACAAAAGTGGCACACCAAAAGGATGAGAGGAAGCAAGGATGCAATCAGATTTTTCTACTCAAAATTCTGATCACAAATGGCGCACATAAAGGGAGAGAAAGGGTGGAGTTGTTGCAATTCAAAATTCCCAACAACCTACCATTAAATCCTCATGAGACTATATCTTTATCTAGTCGAAATTCTGACCAAATGGCCATCATATGGCCAGCCATCTATGCACCCCATTCAACCCCAAAAGGGGTCCAGATACATTGAGCAGTCGCATTCAAATTTGAACCAACTCACTCACTGATTCTCTCAACCAAACAAATCTGATTAGAGCTTATTTGGTTGACTAGATGACACTTATAATCACATCAAATCAGCGCCCCAAACAGCCCTTGGTGATCTCCAAAGATCTCTTCTTGATACAAGGGATTTGTTCCAACAAGATCTTATCTTATCCTTTTGTTATGAAACAACTTTTCATAGCCAATTCAAATTCAAATTCAAACATTTAAATTCAAATGTTCAAACATTTAAATTCAAAATTCAAATTCTAAATTTAAATTCAAAATTCAAAATTCAAAATTCAAATTCAAATTTCAAAAATCAAATTTCAAATTTCAAATTCAAAATTCAAATTTCAAAATTCAAATTCAAAATTCAAATTTCAAATTCAAAATTCAAAATTTCAATATTTGATAATTAATTTAACTAATTAAATTAATTAGTAATGTCTTGAACCATCCAAGCCCATTACATGATCGATGCGCCCTTTTCCTTTTTAGGTGGGCTTCCAAACTTCTTCTTGGGCTAACAACCATTATTAGGCTCAATACCTTTAATGCTAGATCATCATGACAATAAGGTGTTAGTGTGTGACCCATTAGGTCCAACATAGCCACTGACATAAATGGGCTCGGGCCCAACAAGCCCACAACCCATTTAATGACAACACAGAGCACTAGCAATGCTTTGTTGCCCCAGAACTAGTTAGATTAATGACTTGATCATCCTATTACACATATTTGGTTGCCGTATGCATTTCCTTTCGTCTCGGTTACCTTCCCATTAAACCTAGAGTGAGGTTACGTATCAACCCTTGCGGTTTAG